ATTATTTCTTCAAATAGATTTTCAATCCCTTGCTTGCTCTCTTTCTTCTCCTTCTGGTACTCCTATGATACAAATGTTTGTATACTTGATGCTATTCCGGAGGTCCCTTAAACAATCCTCACTTTCTAAAATTCTTTTTCTTTTTGCTGTCTGATTGTTTGTTTTGCTACCTTTACTTCCAGATTGCTTGTTTGATCCTCTGCTTCATGTTATTTGCTGTTAATTCCTTTTCGTGTATTCTTCATTTCAGTTACTCTATTCCTCATGTCTGAGTAGTTCTTATTTATGTTTTCTGTCTACTTTTTACTGTTTTTAAACTCTTTTTCATTGAGTTCTTTGAGTCTACTCTGAAGTTCCTTGAGTGTCTTTATAACTAGTGTTTTGAAATCTGTATCTGGTAGATCACTTACCTCCATTTCATTCAGTTCTTTCTCTGGACTTTTGTCCTATTCCATTGTTTGGGACACATTTCTTTGTTTTCTCCTTTTGGCTGGCTTTCTGGGGTTTTTTTCCCCTATGCTTCTATATATTAGGTACATCTCCTATCTCTCTCAGTCTTGACAGATTGGCCTTACAAAGAAGGCATTGTATAGGGTGCAGTGACAGTGTCTCCCTGGTAATCTGAGTTGGGTGCTCAAGGGTGTTCCCTGTATAGGTTGTGTGTGTCCTCTTATTGTAGTTTTGCCTCCATTGTTGCTGGTGTATCAGTGGGTGGTGTTGACCCTTCTGCCCAGTTTGCATCTCTGCCCCTTCTACCGGTCTTGACCTGGCTTTTTCTTTATATCCTTAGTGGAATTCTGTTCAGCTATTCTTCAGGTGGCTCTCAGTGATGACTTTTATGTAATTTAGTTGTAATTTTGATGTGATCATGGGAGGAGGCAATCTCAAAGTTTACCTACTTCACCATCTTGACCAGAAGTTCACACTGTTCAATTCTTTCTGGTGTTCTTACTCAGCATTTGTTGTTTTCTTTTGATAAATCATCAGAAGTTGACATGCAGTGGTATATAATATGATCTGATAAGACAGTTATTTAAGTCACTCTAATCATGACATGAACGTGTATCACAAGGTGAACCAGTGGAATGGCTGCCTCTCTGGAATTTGTACTGTAAACAGAGTGATGAAAATGGCTGGAGTTGTCCTGACAGGATGAGAATGTTGATTCTGTGTGAAGATTAGAGCTAATGGTAACTGGTCTTTACAAGATTCTACTTAAAGCATTCTTTTGATCTTGTAAGTATTCTCATATCCTTGAAATAAATTACCTTTTTTTTTCTACCTAAATTTACCAGAGTTGGCTCCTGTGGTTCGCAATCTAGGAAACCTCTTTAAATCTCAGCTTATGCCAGCTTTTAGGAGAGGTTTCTCCAACAGTTTGTACAATATATGTTCATCCTTTAATTCTCAAATGCTTTTTCTAAATATGTAGGATGATCTTAAAGCTTTTTACTTTTAATGTATTAATATGGTGAATCATATTATTACACTTTAAAATGTTACTTCACACTTAAGGAATAAACATTTATTTTTTAAAACTTTGCCTGTTTTAGTTTTATTTGGGGTTTTTGCATATTCATTCAAAATGAAGTTGGTCTATAATTTTTCTTGTATTGCTTTTGTTCAGTTTTGGCACCAAGGTTATACTACCTTAGTGAAATTAGCTGCAAAGCAACTAAGGTTTTCCTTTTAATTCTATGAAATGGTTTGCAAAAATTTTGTTATGTATTCCTTGAAGGTGTGGTGAACTTATCTTTAAAACCTACTTGACATGATTTTTTGAGGGGGAGGGTTGTAGATTTTTGAGAACTGTTTAAATTTCCTTAGCATGCTTAGATTTTCTATATCTTCTCAGGTGTTTGGGCAAGTTAAAGCTTTTACCTAGGAAATTGTTCACTTGACAGTTTTACATATTCATTATCTAAAGTTGTTCATAGTATTCCTTTAAAATTTTAAGAATATGTATTCTATCAATCACTGAAACCTAATATTATATTTTGATTTTATAACATAGATTATATGCCACTGATTCTTTGATATTTTTGAGATTTATGTTCTAATATATGCTGCCATTTTTTAAAAGATTTCTGGTATGCCTGAAAGAAATGTTTACAGGGTTCTCTACATGTCTCTGTGTTATTCAAATAATCTGTTCTTGTTCTTATTAAGTTTTTGTCTGTTGGATTTATTGGTTATTTAAAATGATATGTATACAACTCCCCAGGACAAAAAGATTAAATGCCTGTGCTTTTTTCGTCCATGTTGGCTAGGCCCGTTCTCTTCCATGAGAATGTTATCACTAATGAACTTTGCTTAAAGATATGTACAACTCTTTTATGATTGTGGATTTGCCAACTTTTTCTGGTAAGCTTGTAAATTCTTGCTTTAAATATTTTGAGGGTATGTTTCTATATGCATATTGGTTCAAGATGATTATAACTTCTTTGCAATCTTTTAAATCATTATTTAATAGTTCAACTTATGCTAGTAACAGTAATTTATGCTAGTAATTGAACAACTATTTAATAGTTCAATTTATGCTCTTTGACCTTAGGTCTGTTTATCCTCCCTCGATAATAATACAGCTATACCAGCTTTGTTTTGCTTGTTGTTTGCTTAACAAATCTTTCCCCATTCTTTTACTATCAATCTTTGGCTGTCCTTTATTCTAGCACCATGTCTTGTTAAAAATACATAGCTGAAAATTTATTTTTTAATTTAATTAAAAAAAAACTTATTTATTTATTTTTAGAGAGAGGGGAAGGAAGGGAGAAAGAGAGGGAGAGAAACATCAATGTGTGGTTGTCTCTCGCTTGCCCCCCACTGGGGACCTGGCCCACAACCCAGGCATGTGGCCTGACTGGGAATCAAATAGGCAACTCCCTGGTCGCAGGCCAGCACTCCATCCACTGAGCCATACCAGCCAGAGAAGAATATTTATTTTTTAATTGGTAAATGTATCCCATTTACCTCTTTTATAGATTATTGATGTAATTCTTTTTACTCATTTTATATTTGCCATCTACAATAGCTCTTATTTGATCCTTTCCTACCCCTACCTATTGGCTTTCTATTGGGTATGTTTTCTTTATTTCCTTTTTAAAATCTACTGGTTTGAAAATTATACTCAATTTCTTCCTTCTCCATACTTTCTTACATTTTACTACTTCTTTCGAGTTCAATTTTCAATTTTTTAAAGACATCCTTTAGAAGTTCTTTCAATAAAATTCTCTTAGGAGTAAATACTGTTATTTTCTCTAAAAATGTCTTTATTTTTCCCTCACTTTTAAATGCTAACATAGCTTGGCGTATAATTGTAGGTCGACAATTATAATTATTTTATTTTAGTATTTGAAGATATATTTCATTGACCTCTAGGTTCTTTGTTGCTATTGAGAAGGCAAGCCTCTATTCCTTTATAAGTGCAGTATTTTATTTTTCTTTATGCTTCCTTAAGTACTTCTGTTTTTCTTTAATTAAAAAAATTCACCATAATATACCTTTATATGAATTTATTCTGTGTTTCTTTAGGGTTTATTCCTTGGGTTGAATTGCTTTGTCATAGAAAATGTTTTTTTTCAACCTGCCCAGATAATGACATTTTGTCTTTACATTATAATGTTATATAAATTTTTGCACATTAGTGAACAGGTCATTTCTTAAAGAGTGTTAACATTAAACAAACCCTCCCCCCCTTTTTTTTTTTTTTTTTGGTTTGAACTTTCTTAACTGTTGGAAAATAAACTTTTTGAAAAGCCCTTTTGCCTGATGCCTGATTTTTTGTGTCCTGAACCTTTCACTATCTTACGAAATGAACTTACTTGTTAGCTTAAAACTTGATAAAGAAATGGATCTTGCCTAATCTTTGGCCAGAAATTTCCTAAAAGTTTTTAAAAGTTCTGTTTGGTACTTTTCAAGTTGTCTATTGTATACATATGATGATCGATGTAAGAAACATCCAAACATTTAGAGTTTATTTGAACCAAACTGACAATTGTCGGTAATCAAGATCTCAAATGTTTCTGAGAATAACAGTTTTGCAGTTACTTGTATGAATTTGTAGGTAAGGAAATAAATAAGAAAGGTTACATAAAGGTGGGCGCAAGTAAGGTGGGGGTTTGATTATAGTTAATAAAATCATGTGCTTTCTGGAGGGAGATTACACTTTCCAGGGGTATTTCCTTAGACATTTCAAAGGTGTGTTAATTTAGATGCACAGAAACAAAGAATAGGACTTGCTTAAAAACTTTTCACTAAAGAAGTTATATGCTTGGGGCGGGACTACTCACAATGACCTGACCAGTTCGGAATTCATGATCAGGTCACCCTATGAAGTCACCTGTAAAAAATTTTTTCATCCATACATATATGAATTCCTGTGGATTCTTTACATATTCTTCTGTCTGGCCCCAAATGCTAACGTTAACTTGGCTCCCAGGCAGGCATAGGACTCTGGTTTAGCCTTCACACCTCTAACACCTGGGTCCTGGACTCAGGCGTTTGCTTTGACGGCATCCATTCCGCTCTCAGGATACAGAACTCGGTGCTAAGGGGATGAGGCCTCTTCCTTGCCTCTTCCGCCTGTCAAGTGAGGGTGGTGCTGGCACCAGCGCCAGGCCCTCCCAGAAGCAGCTCCCTAGCTGGGTTGCAGGCTGCTTTGGCCCAATAGCTAGGTCGGACCAGGGTGGCCGGCCCTGGTCGCTGGGTCCAATCCCCTCCTGGGGACACAACCCTTTCTGTTGGTCTGCTCCCTCCCCTGCCGAAAACAGGTCAGATTCCTCAGTTTTGATCTAGAAGTATGCCCCGCCCTGCCCTGCCCTCCAGTGAAATCACGTGGCCAAGAACGGGACTCTGCAAACTGGGTATTTCTGCGAGCCGGGCCAAAGCTGGCAGAGACTCTGGGCGTGAGAGTGGGAAGGAACTTTAACAAGCAGCTCTATGGCCCAATGGATTTCTTCTGCCTTCAGCTGTAGGCCAATGAGATGCATAGGGCGGGACTTCCTCCTTGTTCGGTGTTGTCGTCCCGCTTGACTCCAGCGGGGCGGTAGGGTCTGTGCGGATATTCAGCTATGGAGTCGAGGTAGGGAGTACTCCGCAGAGACTCGGCCAGCAAACTTATTTGAATGCAGGGTCAGGCTACCAGGTAAGAACCTCTGCGAACTCGAAGCAGCCTCGAAGCCACCTGGGAGCACCCGGTGGCGGGCCTGGTCCAGAGAACACACCCCCTCGTCTGCTTTTCGTAAAAGGTAAAGAAAAAAAAGCTCTGCCCTGGGAAGACTGAGTCTTCCCACACCTCCATCCTGTGAGTTTTTGTTTGTATCTAAAGCTGTTGGTTTATCTGTATGGCTTTTCACATTCCCCTGCTGAGGCGGCAGGAGCTCGGGAGATGTTTGGAGGCTTTTCTTGGTTGAGTACTTGCCGCAAAGTCCCCAGGCGGAGTTGCCAGACTTAAGTTGCGGGCACTCGTTAATCTTTGAAAAAAGAAGAGAGCTGTCACCTCCTTCTAACCCTTTTCCTCCTCCCGGTTCCTCTCCCCCGCCCCACTGGAAGGAAACTCAGATTCAAGGTGGGCCGTGACTCTGCTAGGGACAGATTCTACGTCCCTGTTCTCTTAAAGTCTGCTCTGCCCGGAAGCTTATTGAGTTCAGCCGCACAGCCGAAAGAACTCTGTACCAGAGAGGGAGTGGGCGACACCAAAGCCTGGTGACCCCAGAGGCACCGAAGCAAGTAGGGTGGCAGCCAGAGTGTTCTCTGTCAGCTTGTGGTGAATTCCTCTATTTGCCCTTATTTGACAATAGTAAATTTCCAAAACTATCGTATCATCCTCAGCTTCAGCACCGTGGGCAGCCGCTCAGGTCCTTTTGTTGCGCCAAACCTGCCTGACTCTTATTTGCCAGTGATGCAGCAGGAACAGCGAAAATGAAGGCATTTCTGTCAACACTGATCTGTTGTTTTCCAAGGAGAACATCTACAGTTTGATACAATATAAGTAAGATGGGTATGCTGCCAAAGAGTTCTCATAGAGAAATGGATCAACTCAAGATTGAAGTGTTTAATTTATTTAAGGACAATTTTTAATGGGTTGAGGAGATGAACTCCACGAACCCAAACAAAACAAAACAAACCAACCCTTTAAACAGGAGACAAGAAATGTCGAGAAATATCAGAGGACATTCTGCAGAATAAGAGTAAATATTTCATTAAGCTTTTGTGTGTTTTTAAATATGTGTGTTTGAAGAGGAAGATGTTAATGATTACCATATTATTGCGGATTGTGTTAAAACACTGGATCCCAAACTTGGGGGTCAGGTTGGGTTCAGCCTTTAGTTCTGTTATATACTAATTCTGTGATAGTATCTGTAAATAGGGAAGAATTGTAAGAATTAATCAAAATAAAATGTTACATGGTTAAGCCTCATTTTTTAAAACAATTGGGTAGAGCCCAGTTATTTCTGTTTCAGAAATGACAACTGTTTTTAGTTCTGCCTTTATTTGAAGCCAGCCAGCTTGACATCTCCATGTGTAATATAGTAAGTCACATAGACAGAATCTTGGTTTGTGAGGTTTCAGTACTTGAGGAGTGCTGGAAGGATTTGAGTCAGTTCTCATCTATCCTTGTTTAAAAGCTCATTTCTCTCAGTCATTTTATTACTAGCATTCAGCACCCTTCCTTTGATTATTTTTTGCATTTCAGAGTAACAGACTTTTTCAGATCTTAGAAGTTTTCAGGCACTAATTTTAGTTAGTAAGGGTAGGACTAAGGGTATGATTTACTTATGTCTTTGAGTAAATTGGATAGGAATGCATTTTATGTTCTATAGTTATTGCCAGAGAGGTGTATGGAATGAGATGGCTTTGTCAAATATCGTGGTATGCTTATTTCATGTTGGTATGACCTAAAAACAGTTAGTGTTTAAATTAAAAGTATGATTTTGGATATTTTAAAATCTGGGAATTAATATTTAGTAGAAGGCAAGATTAGTTTGAATCAAAATTGTGTTTTGCACCATTTGACATGTTACTACCATATGGCATTGCATATGGTAGTTTCACATAACAAAAAGGGAAGAAAGTTGGTAAGTCTTGTAGTTTTCTTAAAAGAGGAAACTATTAATAGGCTAGTGAATTTCTTTTACTATATTATGGTGGTTAATCATTGTTTAAAAATTTATATATTCTGCAAATATTGAGCATATCTAAAATACAGTATTAAGCTCTTACATTATGCAAAAGTTGATTTGGGAACAGTGAGAGCATAATTGGCATTGTCAGAGTTTATATGTCATAGCATATAAATAGCAATGACAGTAATAATAGCTAACATGGCCAAATTCAATTCTAAGCATTTCATATTGTCTCATGTAATCCTCACTATAATCAGTGTGGTAGTTAGTACCAGTATCCCCTTTTTATAGATGGAGAACAAAGGCATCACAAATGCATAACTTGCTTAGTTCACACAGGTTATTAGTGGAATTACTGAAATTTGCACAGAGGCATTCTAGGTGTCGTTTTATTAAAAAATACAGAATACTAAGGAGCTATTTTGGATTCCTTTCTTGTTGGTTTGGGTGATGGATGACTTTGGGTAAATGCCTTTGGCCCTCAGTTTCTTCAGTTCCTTCCTCAAAAAAAGAAATGTAGCATGAAGCCGTTAAGTTTCTATGAGGATTAGGATAATTTGTAAAGGCGCTAGAGAGAATATGTGTTCAATAAGTAACATGCCTCAGCTGTTTTCCTTTCACGAGGATATGGCCATTCAGAAATTGCCAGTTGGAGGAGGATGGGAGAAGAACGCTAGCTCCACATAAGGGTACTGTCCAAGCAGAGGTGCAGAGGTAGGAAAGCATTTGTCCAAGTTGTCTGTTTAAGGAACAGGCTAATAAGGATACCAGGAAACAGATTATGAAGATCTTTAAATGCCAGAATAAGAATTTTGTACAAGATTCTTAGTTGAAAAGAACTCCTCTTTGTGGATATTAGTCTTTAACAGAAGTCTGCAGAGTTTAATTACAGTAGTTGAGTGAAGAAGTGATGACAGTGGGATTGTAGTGAAGGGTATAGAGAGCTGAGAAATGTTGACATTGGCATGGGAACTGACATAAGTATGAGTATAAGACAAATTTGGGGGAGGGTAATGATGCTATTAACAAAAATAAGGATTTTATGAAGAATAAGTTTTGGTGGGAGGGAATTTAGGAGAACACTTCATGATAGGGATTTCAGAGCTGAAGAGTTGTTCAGATGTTTGGCAATGTAAAATGGGTACTGGGAGCTTTGTGTATTCCATAAAAAGGGAAGAGACAAATAGCTCACATTTTGAGGAAATGGTCTATAGCAATCATTTGCCTGAGAGTCAAAGATTCTTAAGAGTGATGTGATTCCTGACGGTCTTCAGAAATGCAAATTTCTCCCTTGATAGAAATGTACCCACTGTTTTTCCCTGTGAAATGTTTTGTGTCATGGGAGGATAGGGGGGAGGTAGTGTAAGTAAGGAGGTAAAATATTGGAAACCTAGCAAGATTCCCATTGATCATTTCAAAAAGAGCCAGTAAATTGGAGGCTCACTAAGAACTTGAAAAGATGCTGTGATTTTTATATGGGGCCAAGCATTTATACACACAATTCTTAGTTGTAACATCTCCAGATTTGTTATTCTTGTTATCTCCTGTTTGTTACCCTCAATAGATTAATAGCAAAACCTTTAACCTCAGAAAGCCTGTGTGCTTGTTACAGGGATGGTAACAAGAGGAGACCTAGAAAGATTGTGTTCTGCTCATTTATAGCTAAGATTGTGGAAGAAGAACCTCAAAGGATGAGGAGAAAGCTACCTGGTATGGTGGGAAGAATAGGGATTCTGTGAATGAATCTCTGTGTTACCTATTCTCTGGCTTCAGTTTCCTCATTTTATAAAATGATGATGACAATACCAATTCTGACCTTTGATAAGAAAGAAAAGAAACCATCTGGAGACACTTTGCACTAAAAAAAATGGCTCAGATCTAAGTAGTAGAAGAGCCTATAGATTTCCTCTATTGGCAGGTTTTCTAGGGTTTGGTGCAGTTGAGTAGAGCATGATGTTATAAATTAAGCAGTATAGTTTATGCATCTCTGAACTATTTTAGTTTCTTGTAATGCAAGGCCTGAGTAACTGGACAATCAAATGAAAAAATGAACATTAGGCTCAAGCAATAGGACAAGAAAAAGTTCACATATTCTGTCACACTATTGTTGGAAACATTACTTGGATCTTGCTACTTACAGGTTTTCTATAGCATTCATTGACCCAACAAATATTTAAAGTACCTTCTGTGTCAGGAACTGTTCTAGGCATTCAGAGTACATTAGTGAACCACAGAGCTGACCTCATAGAGCGGATCTTCTACTGGGAGAAATAAGATATATTTTAATAATGGAAAGTAATTAGATTTTTCTTGTACTATATATTTATAAAAGTTCCATCTTAATAGTAAAAGTACTATACCAGATTGCACCTAATTTTGTAGAGCACTTTGAAGGAAGGGACAATGTCATTCCTACTCATTTGTGTCTCCCCATTTTGCTTTCTTCTCAATAGAATGACTTAGATGTATCTAATAATTAGCAAATGAAGGTACTAACTAAATGTTTATGATAGGGAGAAGGCGGTTGTGTTACAGTGAGGCCAGTTCTTAAAGAAATCAGTAAAATGTGGCAAGTATTAAGGACCCATATACTCACTAGATTGAAGGCAGGGAAAATGAAAAGGGTGCATATGCATTACCGGGCTTGCCTATGAGGTGGAAATAGAAATGAGGTTATATTGTAGCTGAAAATATCAACATTAAGCATGACTTTTCATAAATGAGTTGACCTCTCAGTTCATTTCCTTATTTGTGAAATGAGGTAGTTGAAATTTTGTAGTTAACAAATCTGTTTTTAAGATTCCTTGCAAAATCTCTTTTACAGTAATGTTTCACTTTATAATATAAAGTAGAGCTGATCATGAGCTTTCATTGAATAATAATAGGGGACTAAATTTATATTATTAATCAAGGAGATACTTAAAAAAGTACCTACAAAATTATTGTTACCTATTTGATGTTTTTACTAGGAAGACTACACTGTAATTTTTTTCAATTCCCATTATAGCCCAATATATAGTTTTCCCTTTTGCCACTATGTAGGAAATATAAACTATACTATTTTACATGCTAATAATGGATATTCATACTTACTCATACTTTCATATTTTAATTTTACAACA